AACAGCAAAAAAAGCTCCTCTTTCCTTCCAGAAAAACGCGAGAAAGCTCCAGCATCCAATCGGCCGTGACGGATTGTCTGGTCACACCTCTTGTTTCCCCCCACCCTACAGTAGTATAACTTCAAACAAGAGGGACACACTGTATGCCACCATGTGTAACTGCCCATGGTTAAGGCACGCAGCAGGGAAGTGGTGCACGTTTTTTAAACTCACTCACACTGCAAAAAACTGTTTCTGACTGCTCTAACCATAAGATTATCATATTACAGCTGCCATCACCACTGTAATTCAAGTATGAAAAAATGTAGAACTTGCTGCCTTTAAAAAAGCAGTGGTAGCACTCTGCATTCAGGACAGAGGTTTGGATTATAGTCGGAATAGGGCTGACTTCAACCTAAATTACATGGCAAAACACCTATGTCCCACATCTCTTTGTAATATTTAGTACTTATAAGCTCAAGCCTGCTCCTTATCTAGTACCCAAGTCTTCCGAATTGCCACTCTGAAGCAGCACTCTCCCTTCACACTGTAGAGGATGCTAAGATGCCTACCTTGGGTTCAAGTTTTCAGTCTGAGATTTTAGTCTTGCAAGAACGTAACTTGCTTAAGAGGTTTGGTCTTCTCTTTTCTCTCAATAAATAAGTCAACAAAACTCATCCTAATTAGACTAATGGAGTTTCTATGGATATCAAATCTGACCATTTAACACTAAGTCAAACTACATAAATAAATTTAGTCAGAGCTTCAAAACACCTTAGATAAGAGAAAATATCAGTATTATGAGGTTTTCATCAGTCTATTACTATGCTAAATAAACTGGTATTCTACCTTATTCATTAGAAGGGGCACAAGTATGCTCAGACGTTTTGTAAGGAGCCCCAAAGTCTTTAGATACATTGGATATCCATCTCCTTAAAACAGTTCTCTTGTAATAAGATGTATACTCAAGGTAATATAAATTTAGAATAGTCTTAAAAGGCAGCCCATTTAAGCACAATCAGTACACCAATACAAAACATAGTATCTGCAGTTGTGTGGGAGGGAAAGAAAAAAAGAAAAAACGTGGCAAATACCAAGCCCCTAAATTACTTACCAACCCAAACTTGTCAGGTTACAGACTCATTTACTTGTAGGACTTGAGAAGCTTCCTGAAGTCTGCACCTTCTGTAAGAGGTACTTGGTGAAGGGTGAGATGCTTTCTGTGGGAAGGCCTTCTGGAGGAGCTGCCCAAAGAGAAGAATGTATGTCTAAACCCTGAAGGATACTGCTGTTACCTAGGAAAAAAAATAAAAAATAGCTGAGATGGGCTTAATAGCATGTTGGTTGGTTGGCTAAAAAAAAAGAGTCCAAAATGGGAAGACTGGAAGACTGGGGCACAGAGGGACTGTACAGGACATTTCTGCATTACATTGTGGAAGAAAGTAAACAACTTTGCAGTTCAGAATGAATATGTATTCTTATTTTCTGTTAAAGAAGTAAACAGACAAGGCAAAACTGTCTTCGAAAGTAATTTGCCTGTAGTGGAATTATACTGGCCAACATAATTCAGAAATAAACTTGACATTTTGTCCAAAAATAGAAAGCTAAAGGTGTATCAGTGACAGACCTATACAACCTTTGTTCTTAGCAGCTTTAACAAAAAAGCTTAAACATGACAAACATCTATTGCTTACCTGCAAAATTAAACTAAGAACTCCTGTAAATTTTAGGGTTAATTCAAGTAGGTATAATACCACTTCAAACATACATTCTCCAGACTTCAATATAATAGCAAACTATTATGCAGCAATCCTGGCCAGTGGAAAGAAATGTAAAAATTGAAGGTAAACCCTTAGAAATTATATGCACATGAACTCATTCCAAAGAGTAAGCTCAGTTATAGATAAACCAGCATCAGCTGATTTTTGTGGAACTACACTTCACCCCCCAAAAAAAAAAAAAAAAAAAAAGAGTAAAAGCCACACTTGCATGGAAAAGCAGGCGGGGCAGCACTTTGCACCCTCTTAAGACGTACTCCTCCTAGCCTGGAGAATTTCCTCCTGATGATGGGAAAGAAGCAGAGCTCTCAAACGCTCTTTAGATAGCTCCAGCAGATTCATTGACCCACAGACACCTTTTCTAAGGCTTAGAGGCCACTTTCTAAGTAACAGACAGCTGCAAAGCGCAAATATAAACGAACAGGGGGAAAAAAAAAAATCCCCCCCAAACCCAAAACACCACCAAACCCCC